AAGTTGAATACAGTATACGATGGGCTGCCGTGGTTTAGATCATCCATCCAGGTCCCGCTGGATCTGCCTTGGCGATCGGTCCCGCCTCTTCGGCTGCAGGTGTACACTACCTAGAGTGACGGGCGTCCACCCTTCCACCCGGAGTTCAGTAACGGCCCGCAGTGACAGGCCCCGGCTTTTAGCGGGTTCCAGTGGTGTGAAGGCCAGGCACGCTGAAGACTTTGTGGCAACCACGTTGTATGGACCCCATGGAGACGGTCACCGAAACATGGAAGGCAGGAGCGGGAACGGGGACGTATCCGAACATGCGGGAACACGTAAAATACTGTACGCGTTCCCATGGTAACAAATGTCCGGTTTTGGACCATAACCGCCGACCTAGTAACCAACCTGCATTATGTACATCCATCAAACAGTTGGGTTGTTCGCAGTGGCTTCGTCTAAACTCCATCCGAATATCTTCTGGACACGCAAGACTGATCTTTCCAACCCGATAATTCAACAGGCCAGCGCCCAAAAGTCACAGCTTCACGAATGAATGACGGACACTTTTGACAACACCATCACATCCCCGCCTCTCAAGAGGAGGAAACTCTCCGGTACCATGTCCTCCCCAACGCCTTCCTTAAAGCCAAGTGCACTGGATCGCACTCAATCACTCCGGAAACCAATGAGCACCGCGGGACTGATGAAGGATACCACCATTACCGCCGCAGTTGGTACGTCTGCTGGCAGTAATATCGCTAGGGGCGCAGGAGTAAGAGCGTCAAAACAACGGCCCGTCTCGATGACTCAAACGCCATCAACAATAAAAGGAGCTTTGGCTGCGCCAGGAATGGTTTCTCGGACTGTCGCCACCAGCAACATTGGCACAGCGACCAGCGGGAGCGGAATCAAAAGGACGGCTAGTGTTACTGGTACTAGAAGCGGCACCACCAGCAGCAATATCAAACCACCATCCTCTGGAGGGCTTAATCGACTGGCTAGCGCTAGATTGAAGCAAGAGGGGAGGAAAGTTGAAAATGCAGGCGAAAGGACTGGCGCGGAAGTTGGAACTGGGATCTCCAGTGGTTCTGGGAACCGGGTTGTATCGGGAGCAGCAATGGCACTACAACCATCAAGGACATCAACAACTGCCACAAAGTCGACAACATTGTCAACAACTAGCCTCAGACAACCTCTCTGTAATCGCGCTCCCACAATATCCGCGACTGATGTGACCGCGAGAACTACTCCTCTATCACCACCTACCACAACACCGCCATCATTATCAGGATCGTTTGGAATGACTCGTCCAACTACTTCGTCGAGTGCAGGTTCATTAGCCACCATCACTAGCCCAAGAGTAACAGGTGCGTCTGGTTCTAGTTTCAAAATAGATACAGGCATTGGTCACAGGGGGAGAGGGCATGCGCGTACTCAGTCAGCAACAATAAGCTCGCCGAAACCAACAACGCCGAAACCGGTACCAAGAAGCACGGCAGTATCAGGAATTTCTGCCACAGCGTTCTCAAAAACTGCCGTAGGTAAAGACATCGGGGTTTCTGGAGTTGGCAGTGGGAGTGATCCGCCCAAAAACGCTTCCAAAGGAGTTCCACCACCAAGCACTCCTGGTAAAAGTAGGCCACAGTCACTCGTATCGGCCAACGCACTCAGACGGTCTCCTGCCACCGCTAAGCCAGAGATAGCAACGACAGGAGGGACGCCCAAAGCGGTGACTGGAACCGGACCAAGGTCATCACCAGCACACAAACGGCAAAACTCGGCATCTTCAGTTTCTACTACCAGTACCGCGGCCACCACAGGAACAAAGAAAAGGACAGCGGCGAGTACAACAACGACCCAGACTCGGCGTCTTGCTGCTTCCAGGAGACCACTCTCCTTACAAGCCCCCGAAGCAGCAATAGCAAATACTGTAAAGCTGGCACCAAAAATATTATCCTCAACTAGGCCCCCTTCTACAGCAACCACCACAACCACCGTCACCAAATCCCCTCCCTTGCGCCAGCCAACCACGGCACCCTCAGCCGCCACGATCAGGAGCGTTCCCAAACTAAAGCCCAAACCCCATATACCCGAACTTCTTGCGTCTTCGACGTCCTCTCACGCCGCCCAGCAGCAGCAGCAGCGGCAGCCCCGTCATAACTTCGACACGTACCAACAACACTACACTCCGGCCCAGATCCCGCTCTTGCCCAAGCCACTGACATCCACCTTCCTCGCTCCTCCCACGCCCTCCAAGCAGCCGGCAAACGTTGCTCTCTCCGCCGAGATTTCTCGACTACAGACGGAACTGTTGCAGTCGCACTTGCTACATCGGGAGGCGAAGCGGGTAAAGGAGGAGTGGGAGGAGGATGCTAGGGGGAGGTTGCAGGGAATGTGGGAGAGGGTGAGGGCGGAGGACAGAACGGTTGGGGAGATGGAGGGGAAGGAGGGGGAGGAGGGGGTTGTGGAGGGCTTGCTTGCTATGGCTGGGTTTGGGGGAACATTGGACGAGACAAAACTACAGGCGTTGGATGAAGTGATTTCGGGGGTGTGGGCTATGAGCGACCTTTCTTCTCCGTCTTCTTCATCGGGTGTTACCATTGGGAAGTACACACGTGTGGTGCGCGAGTTTGAGGTGTGGGCTGGAAGGGCGGGGAGGATATTGGAGGAACGGAGAAGAAGCGCAGCGGATAATGAAGATGGCCGGGATGGGGTGTTGGTGCTAGATGCGAAGGGCGAGGTGGAAATGATCGGGGGTATGGATCTCGAATGGAAGAATGAGTGTGTTGCGCTCGGGAGGCGGTTGGAGAAGTGGCGGAGGATGTTGGGGGAGCTGGGCGGAGTGTCGTCGAAGGCCAACTATGGGTCTTCTTTTCGGTCATCGCGACCAATAAAAGGGGTTGAAACTATTGAGAGGGAAGCGGACAAGGGAGAGGAAGGAGAAGATGACGAGTCGCCTCTGGTCAGGACGCTTAGCAGATTCGGAAGTTTGATGGATAACATGCTCGCTGAGTTACAAATTATGGCGCAGATTGAAAGGGAGGCCGTGGCGGAGGAGATTGAGTGGGTGCGTAGACTAAATAGGGTCGATGATGAGAAGGAGGGAGAGGAGATCGTTGGGAAGCGAGCGACAGCTATTTGGAGGGTTATTTGATGGGTGATGATTTGTCGGTTCACGACCTGCATGAAAGGAGTACGAGATCAGGAGATCAGGGGGGAGGCACTATGGATGTTTTATGGTTACCTGCAACTCTTTCGTGTGGGATAGGATCCTAAATATACATGTATGGAGATAGACAGCTCTACGGCTTGGTGGTTTCGTTCTTGATCTATAGTGGCGTTAGAGAGTCCTGCCCCGTAAAGGCCTGTCCAACTTGGCAAGTAAATAGACAATGTTCTCGCTCTTGTCCACCTTATGCTTTCCAACTGATCTCTCACACATTGACGTTATAATATGATGCAGTTTGGCTTTTCACTTGTCTCGCTTCCGTGAAGGCTCCTTCTTAGGTAGTCGTCAGTATGATCTTTCGCGCTACTATTCTTCTATCGTGCACGGGAATGTACGAAGGTGAGATATGCATCCATCTTCAAGCTGTTCATTGCACAATTATACGGAACACCAACACCATAAGTATGCCCAGCATAGCGACTAACAGAGGACACTTGTGCCCTAACCCCCTCCTTTATTTTCTCGCCTTCTATCGAACTTGGAGCAATTTACCAAACGTTTCCTAACGATCAAACATCAGGGTAACAGCTCCACGCCAATGTTCCCAAGTTTGTGGGACTATTCAAACATACAGCTTTTGCATTAGCTTACAGTTCAATCAACAGCCCGATTAGCTCAGCTGGTTAGAGCGTCGTACTAATATCCTCTCCTCGAGATATCAAGTCATGCGAAGGTCAACAGTTCAATCCTGTTATTGGGCATTCTTTTTGCTTTTTTTTTTCTCTTTTTTTTTTCTCCCTTTCCAAATTATTAATTTTCCCGCGTGTGTCCGTCCGGCTTTCTTTTCTTCTCTTTCTCTCATCTTTGTTACAATGGTCCAAAACCATTCGTCCGGTTTGTGCAGGTTGGGAAAACCACTTGTACGTTGCATCCAAACGCAGTTTGTTACATTATTATTAAGCTCAACCGGGAAGGTTCGATCTACTTGTACGAGGCTCGGGAAGCAATTGTTGGAGGACCCATTAGGAAGGAGCTCTTCGAACGAACATGGCAAAAATCATACCAAATTCAACTAGAGACGTAAGTTCTCTTGATGTGAGGTGTCGAATTGCCTCTTTCCTTCTTCCTTGAGTCGTTCATCTGTGCATCTTTTCAACGGGATGTATTTCAGACAGTGTACAGTAGTTCCGACACCGAACTCCTGTCAACGGATGGCTGGCTTTACAACAACCCCGAAAGCGATACCCATTGCACCCCGTCCACCGGGCCCGGATGGGGGACGGACCCCGCTCCGATATCGGTCATCCCGACGTCCCATCTACATATCTCCGTTGCGGACCGGACCGGGGCCGAGCCAAGCAACTGAACACACACCCCCCAACTGGAGCAAAAACCGCCGCCGTTTCTGTTCATTCAAGAAACACAAAAAAAAACTTACAAAACCATCATCAGCAATCACCAAATACATCGGTACTTCATCCTGCTCTTTCATTTCCCAATGTCTAAATTTCCCCGCATAACCAGCGTTCCCATCCTCGATTTCTTTATCACTTGCATAATGTGAGCAATGCGAACAGCGCCATGCAAGACTGAGTTGTACCTGCGTATATGCGTGGTGCGGTATGCGGATTGACGTTGTCACCAGCCACTACACGGTGACGTGTTGCCAGGTGAACTCATGTTCGTCGTCGCCCCTCTCCAACACGCTTTCCCCGATTAAACTCAACAACATGAGTTCTCTCGTGCGTATTCTGTGGTTTGTGTGCTGTTCGTTTTGTACTTAACGAATCTGCACGTCTAACTACGGGGGCATTCCAGTAATTTCCGTTTTCGTAATCTCTTTTTTCTTCTTTTTCTTTTGGCTACCGCAGTGCCTTTGCGTATTTAAGAGCCGGCCGGCTGCGGGCCCGGGCAAGTGGATCCATCTCCCATTTCATCGGGGTGTCGGCGGCGGCCCCATTGCGTCCGCCGCCCGTCGGAGTCATCGCACCCAGCTCGCTCGGGCCGGCCTCTACCCATACATAGATTCTCCTCAGTTTCCATATCCGCCGCACCATTCCACTCAGACACAATCCGCACAAACCACACAAAAATAACAACAAAAAAGAAGCTTCAAATATCTGAAACATGTCAAGTGTTGGCAACACGTCATCTGCATTGGCGCTAACAGCTAGGTAGGTACTGACTAACCTGACTACCATAGAGCTCCGCACCACATGCCTATGATGTGTTGAGATACGGTTGCAACCATACTCCGTAGTGGTGGCCAGTCTTCAGGTTTCAAAACATTAAAGCTCAAAATTTGTTTCAAGCAATTCCCAAGCGCCGAAACGAACGGCCGGGTCCAGAGCTCATCCGTCTTACTCCCGTCCCGCCCGCTC